ACAGATGATCAGTGCTAGGGACAGATGATCAGTGCTAGGGACAGATGATCAGTGCTAGGGACAGATGATCAGTGCTAGGGACAGATGATCAGTGCTAGGGACAGATGATCAGTGCTAGGGACAGATGATCAGTGCTAGGGACAGATGATCAGTGCTAGGGACAGATGATCAGTGCTAGGGACAGATGATCAGTGCTAGGGACAGATGATCAGTGTTAGGTACAGATGATCAGTACTAGGGACAGATGATCAGTGTTAGGGACAGATAATCAGTGCTAGGGACAGATGATCAGTGTTAGGTACAGATGATCAGTGCTAGGGACAGATGATCAGTGTTAGGGACAGATAATCAGTGCTAGGGACAGATGATCAGTACTAGGGACAGACGATCAGTGCTAGGGAGAGATTATAAGTGCTAGGGACAGATGATCAATGCAAAGGACAGATGATGAGTGCTAGGGACAGGTAATCAGTGCTAGGGACAGATGATCAGTGTTAGGTACAGACGATCAGTGCTAGGGAGAGATTATAAGTGCTAGGGACAGATGATCAATGCAAAGGACAGGTGATGAGTGCTAGGGACAGATGATCAGTGCTAAGGACAGATGATCAGTGCTAAGGACAGATGATCAGTGCTATGGACAGATGACCAGTGTTAAGGACAGATGATCAGTACTAGGGACAGATGATCGGTGTTAGGGACAGTTGATCAGTGCTAAGGACAGATTATCAGTGTTAGGGATATCAGATATCATAGTGATATCAGAAATCTTAGTATTCGGTACATTATATGTCCCCATACATAACGTTCCTGTCGTTTTTCTTCGCGCGGCTGCAAGGCCGGGTCTAGGCTGACCTAAGTACCAGACCCATGGGAAACATCTCCCAGACTCGTCTCAAATCTTCCCGCGAGTGGAGAATTTGCGTCCTTCAGGTCTATTAATCAGGACGTGTTCATAGACTAAGGAATTTATTTACAATCTAACTTATCAACTGATCACGCTGAGTTGCTGCGGGAAATTTGATGTGTTATTCGCTCAATGTTGTTCTCAGTTCCAGTCCACTTGTAATTCCATGGAGTCTCAGACCCAGTCCAGCTCAACCAGTAGTGGCCAGAAGGGGGATGGACTGGGCATGTTGGTTTCGATAAAAATGGCGAAGCTAGTAAAATGTGCAAAACCAGGAAAAAAACACGTTTGAAAAAGCTATAGAATATGGGAAACGTAGCAACTGGAGGTGTCAACGAAGGAGAAGAAGATGAAAACGAGTTCTATGAGGTATAATTTTAGTTTTGTTTTCGACGATATGTTGAGGCAAGGCAGGGGACACTTCACATCTGACCCCGACGAAATGCATCGATTTTTTAGGTCCGACCGGATAAGTGATTATGACCTCCTTAGAAACTATAGGAATAGGTTAAATTCAAATGTTTATTGCCAGTATGTTAAGCAGCAAGTGCAGCATTTCTTGAACTTATTGTGCTTCAATTGATATAAACACAATTAATTAGCCTTAAAAAGAGCCTCCATTTACATAACTTATTAAGGCGACTGTTTTTTCTGGAGTGTACGGAAGCTGTTCCTAACAGCTGGGTATAGCTACTACAGCAGCGGGTATTTTCAGAAGTTTAGCAACCCTTATACCACTAGCTTTTCAAAACACTTCAATTACCACCAAGTTACCAATCCGAGATTATTGTGATGATCCCTTGCTTCTTTATGTTATCTTCAGTTTCTCTGGGTCAGGCTTGAAATGATTAACGTTGAAATAATGTGTGCTCTCTCTCAATTAAGTCTCTGATAATCTTTGTAACATCTCACTTTTTCAATGCATTTTCCAATACATTACAGTTATACATCAGTTTATACATCAACGATAGATAGAGAAACTCTTAAAATGCTTCAGAAGGTTTCAACAAGAAGCAGTGACCAATCAATACAGTTGATTCCTTGTCTTTTAACCTTCTATCACTCAAAACTCAGCCGTTGTTTTCCTTCAGGCCATTTTCCTTGTCTACTTTTCCCTCATTAGCTCAATTTTTGATGAGTTTACCTTTAAAGTGATTTTTGTTTATGTTGGAGTTGTCAGAAGTCAACTGTCTTTCATTATTTGACTGAAAATGGAAAGTCTTCATCTTATTAAAGTTCCCTTCATTATGTCAGATAATTCACAGCTTTTTTTTGTAGGATGGAACAGAGACAAGTCCATCTTCAGGTAGTTATGTTTTTTTCTTTCAATAGCAAATTCTTTTGCTTTCTTGCTCAAACCTTTGGGAAATTCAAATATCATACAATCATTTGATGGGGTTATACAACTATCAAGGAAGTTGTCATATTTCCGTTTTATCAACATCTTAAGTTTTCACTTTCCTTTAGTTATATATGTATTCTCATTGAGGTTAATAATTTCTTGGGACTTTAGGGGAGATCACTGATGGAGCTTTAGACCTTTCTGTGTTATTTGATCATGGTTTACTACGAGAAGCTGCCTCAAAAATTAAGTAAGATATTATTTAAATATTTTTACTTCTTTTCAAGTTTTGATGTTGTTGTTTTCATTGTTCTGTGGTAAACTTGCTTTATTTTCTCATGCTGCAGGAGACAAGTGATGCAGCATAGCTTTAAACTCTATTTTACATCAAAACCCCATGCATCCCTTCATTGTCTTCTTTTAATTGCATTTCCACAATCTATGCAATTTTTTTTTAAGTCAGCATTGATATGAGGTCACACTCCAACAAGAAGGCTCAAATTAGTAATATATCCACACTTATTTTTTTCATATTATTCTCCCCTTATTTGTTTATTGGTTTGTTTTTTGTGTATGCACTATGAATCCAATCTTTCTAGTTTTAGTTTATTGCAACTTAATAAAAGGGCATGTGAGAAATTACTGTGACACTTGGTTGTTATAAAGGGAGTTGATCTTTATCAGTTATGTCCTCCATGCTATATATGTTTTGTGCAATTTGTTACAACTGTATTTGATGCAGTATGTAGTTTCATCTTTTGGGGTAATTTGGTAATAATTTAGTTTTATTTAAACAATTTTCTATTCACACTATAAGAATAATTAGTTATAAATTTTTTCTTGTATGTATAGAGAGGAACCAAATGAATCCTTTATGCAACAACATTCAGGCAGTATAATACGGTGGTTAGAAGAAAGAAAGTCCAGACATGAGGTTTGCTCAATGCACTTTTTCATGTAAATACATTATAGTTTAACTTACTGAGTTGTCCTGACCCAGGGAATTAAAGATAAAAAGCTGACAAAACTTGTGGAACTCCTATAACAGACCTCTAGTGGGCAGTAGGCATGGGCAGTAGGCATGGGCAGTTCAGAGGGGAAAAGCTCTGAGGGAGTGTTTATTTTCTGTACTGCAAATACTCTGAGTACTGTATCATATATGTGCACGATCCTTCGCAGTTAAGCACTATTTGAGCAATAGTGAAAATCAGACCTGAAAAAAATTCTTCAGGCCTGTACGGGATTCGAACCACTGACCTCTGCGATACTAGTGCAGCGCTCTACCAATTGAGCTAACAAGCCAACTGGGAGCAGGCCATCAAATTAATTCGACATAAACCCGTAGATGATAAATCAAACAACAACAAACATATGAAACATATGTATGAACTGCGGTTATGAAACGTATATGTGCACGATCCTTCGCAGTAAAGCACTATTTGAGCAATAGTGAAAATCAGACCTGAAAAAAATTTCAGGCCTGTACGGGATTCGAACCACTGACCTCTGCGATACTAGTGCAGCGCTCTACCAATTGAGCTAACAAGCCAACTGGGAGCAGGCCATCAAATTAATTCGACATAAACCCGTAGATGATAAATCAAACAACAACAAACATATGAAACATATGTATGAACTGCGGTTATGAAACGTATATGTGCACGATCCTTCGCAGTAAAGCACTATTTGAGCAATAGTGAAAATCAGACCTGAAAAAAATTTCAGGCCTGTACGGGATTCGAACCACTGACCTCTGCGATACTAGTGCAGCGCTCTACCAATTGAGCTAACAAGCCAACTGGGAGCAGGCCATCAAATTAATTCGACATAAACCCGTAGATGATAAATCAAACAACAACAAACATATGAAACATATGTATGAACTGCGGTTATGAAACGTATATGTGCACGATCCTTCGCAGTAAAGCACTATTTGAGCAATAGTGAAAATCAGACCTTTATTGTTAGCTCAATTGGTAGAGCGCTGCACTAGTATCGCAGAGGTCAGTGGTTCGAATCCCGTACAGGCCTGAAATTTTTTTCAGGTCTGATTTTCACTATTGCTCAAATAGTGCTTTACTGCGAAGGATCGTGCACATATACGTTTCATAACCGCAGTTCATACATATGTTTCATATGTTTGTTGTTGTTTGATTTATCATCTACGGGTTTATGTCGAATTAATTTGATGGCCTGCTCCCAGTTGGCTTGTTAGCTCAATTGGTAGAGCGCTGCACTAGTATCGCAGAGGTCAGTGGTTCGAATCCCGTACAGGCCTGAAATTTTTTTCAGGTCTGATTTTCACTATTGCTCAAATAGTGCTTTACTGCGAAGGATCGTGCACATATACGTTTCATAACCGCAGTTCATACATATGTTTCATATGTTTGTTGTTGTTTGATTTATCATCTACGGGTTTATGTCGAATTAATTTGATGGCCTGCTCCCAGTTGGCTTGTTAGCTCAATTGGTAGAGCGCTGCACTAGTATCGCAGAGGTCAGTGGTTCGAATCCCGTACAGGCCTGAAATTTTTTTCAGGTCTGATTTTCACTATTGCTCAAATAGTGCTTTACTGCGAAGGATCGTGCACATATACGTTTCATAACCGCAGTTCATACATATGTTTCATATGTTTGTTGTTGTTTGATTTATCATCTACGGGTTTATGTCGAATTAATTTGATGGCCTGCTCCCAGTTGGCTTGTTAGCTCAATTGGTAGAGCGCTGCACTAGTATCGCAGAGGTCAGTGGTTCGAATCCCGTACAGGCCTGAAATTTTTTTCAGGTCTGATTTTCACTATTGCTCAAATAGTGCTTTACTGCGAAGGATCGTGCACATATACGTTTCATAACCGCAGTTCATACATATGTTTCATATGTTTGTTGTTGTTTGATTTATCATCTACGGGTTTATGTCGAATTAATTTGATGGCCTGCTCCCAGTTGGCTTGTTAGCTCAATTGGTAGAGCGCTGCACTAGTATCGCAGAGGTCAGTGGTTCGAATCCCGTACAGGCCTGAAATTTTTTTCAGGTCTGATTTTCACTATTGCTCAAATAGTGCTTTACTGCGAAGGATCGTGCACATATACGTTTCATAACCGCAGTTCATACATATGTTTCATATGTTTGTTGTTGTTTGATTTATCATCTACGGGTTTATGTCGAATTAATTTGATGGCCTGCTCCCAGTTGGCTTGTTAGCTCAATTGGTAGAGCGCTGCACTAGTATCGCAGAGGTCAGTGGTTCGAATCCCGTACAGGCCTGAAATTTTTTTCAGGTCTGATTTTCACTATTGCTCAAATAGTGCTTTACTGCGAAGGATCGTGCACATATACGTTTCATAACCGCAGTTCATACATATGTTTCATATGTTTGTTGTTGTTTGATTTATCATCTACGGGTTTATGTCGAATTAATTTGATGGCCTGCTCCCAGTTGGCTTGTTAGCTCAATTGGTAGAGCGCTGCACTAGTATCGCAGAGGTCAGTGGTTCGAATCCCGTACAGGCCTGAAATTTTTTTCAGGTCTGATTTTCACTATTGCTCAAATAGTGCTTTACTGCGAAGGATCGTGCACATATACGTTTCATAACCGCAGTTCATACATATGTTTCATATGTTTGTTGTTGTTTGATTTATCATCTACGGGTTTATGTCGAATTAATTTGATGGCCTGCTCCCAGTTGGCTTGTTAGCTCAATTGGTAGAGCGCTGCACTAGTATCGCAGAGGTCAGTGGTTCGAATCCCGTACAGGCCTGAAATTTTTTTCAGGTCTGATTTTCACTATTGCTCAAATAGTGCTTTACTGCGAAGGATCGTGCACATATACGTTTCATAACCGCAGTTCATACATATGTTTCATATGTTTGTTGTTGTTTGATTTATCATCTACGGGTTTATGTCGAATTAATTTGATGGCCTGCTCCCAGTTGGCTTGTTAGCTCAATTGGTAGAGCGCTGCACTAGTATCGCAGAGGTCAGTGGTTCGAATCCCGTACAGGCCTGAAATTTTTTTCAGGTCTGATTTTCACTATTGCTCAAATAGTGCTTTACTGCGAAGGATCGTGCACATATACGTTTCATAACCGCAGTTCATACATATGTTTCATATGTTTGTTGTTGTTTGATTTATCATCTACGGGTTTATGTCGAATTAATTTGATGGCCTGCTCCCAGTTGGCTTGTTAGCTCAATTGGTAGAGCGCTGCACTAGTATCGCAGAGGTCAGTGGTTCGAATCCCGTACAGGCCTGAATTTTTTTTTGTCCCTTAAGCAACACCCTCAAAAAGTGCTGTACATGGGGCGAAAAATAGGTAAAATTTAACGCGATAAAAGTATACCTGGTACATAATTTTTTAAATTTTTAACTAGATATTCGTAATAAAATGTCATTATTCAATACCTGAGTAAAATTTGAGGCTTTGAATCGGAACGCTTCCTTTTGAAAATACCACAAATGTTTGTGTCCTGAGCGAGCAAAGATATATGTTGTGTAAACAAACGCTAATCTAATTATTACCTGCCAGGTAGAAAAAGGTTTTGAAATCAACTTAAATTTTGGAAATTTGTAGCTGTTATGCCACAAGATATTAGGTAAAAGAGAAATCATACATTCAGAGTTGCGTGAGAGCAGAGAGAAAATAAAATCAGTGTTGAAAATGTACATACGGTTGTTACATCGATCACTATTATGCAAATTACTACCTCAGCTGTAGGAAAACTATGATATCTCTTGCTCATTTTGTTGAATGACTCTTTTAACCATTTTGGTGAATTGCTCATATTTCGCCCAAAGAAACCTTTCAGTAAACCTTTTCAAAAATCATGTTTTCAAGTTCCAGTGATTCTTAACTTTTCATAAATGTACAAAAATCTGAAAACTCGGTTTCAGGTTACCTGAGTTCAGGCTCCGCATGTCGCACAGTCAAAAATTAACTGCAAAAACCAAGCTCCGCTCAAGACTTAAAATGAAATCAATCAACACCAAACTTCACACATTGTAAGGAAAGCTATTCTTATTCAATTCTGGTGAGTAAATTTTCTCGGGCTCATCGATTTTGGGATTACTTAAGCCCTTGAAAGAACATCTTTACAGACCATGCAAAATAGCGTTGAAAAACGGGTGATATTTCGCGCGAAAAAAATATAGCTGTTACCCAACACTTTGAATTTTTAACAATATATTCGACAAACATTGCTATTTCCATTCACTGTGGAATTTTTGATGCTCTGAATCACATTGCGTCCTTTCGAAAATGTCAGAAGTGTTCGTGACCTGAGCGAGCAAAATGATGCAAAGTGTGTAAACAAATAACTAGGTAATTTAAACATATTGAGTTTTTAAATACCCAAATTAAATTCGGTCTCCGTTGTAGTGACTTATAGCTTCTAAAATGAAAAGAGACAGGTCAAAAATTTTGCAAGATGTTTGATAAGGTTCTCCAAAACATTTTTGAGCTGAAAAATCTGCAAGTGAAGGACACATTACATTACCACCTTCTCACATTCAAGTAATGCAAAGGATAAATTTGAAAGAAGCTACTTAAGACTTGATTCCTCACTGAAATCTAAATACTTTTTATCTTTTACACTGAGAACTCATTTTCTGTAAGTATAAATACAAAAGAAAGGCGCCTTATGACCTTCAAAGTAATTTAATACAAGAGAACAGTTCTTATTCTCCTGGTAATTATTAATGTCATGCAACGTAACGTAATTGGAAACATTTTGGGGGTGCTTGAACATACATGCATTAAAACCGCAACTGAAAGGACGACGTCGTTAAATTAGAGAAAGAAATCCCGCATCAAAACATGAGCGAATAGAAATGTAGGTTGAATACTCCCGCATCCGTCAGTTTGCATATTTCGGCCACCAGATGAGTAAACTTCATTACTGATGTGAAGACCAGAAAAGAAAAGTGAGGGTCAATACTGGCATGATTAAAAGAAAAACAAAACAAAACGCAACAACTTCTGATCTGGCCTACGTGCGTTTTTAAAAAATAAGATAATCACTAACTAACGATTAGGAACAATACACCGTTCATTCATTTCTTCCTCACTTTCCTATTCTGCTAAACAAAAGAGAACGTCAGCATCATGATGACTTTTGGCAAGTACATTTGCTGACAATCTCTTTCAGTAGAGCCAAGTACGGGGCCTTTTTACGAATGGGCTCTGATGGTATATTGAGACCAAGATCTTCACACATGTGCTGCAACATGGGTAGCCTCAAGATTTTCAAAGAGTCCATTAGCGCTATTTCACAAAGATCGTACTGATCATAGATCAGGGGATGATCAAGTTGTATGGACATGACAGTCTCCTTTGCCTTGCTAAAATTACTCTCCTCCTGAGCTGCTCGGAATATCAGCATCATCAGCATCTCATTGGCATACTAACGCACTCTGTCTTGAGAAGAAAGAGGAGATCTGGGTTGTTGTGAGGAATTCCGATGACTGGATAAGTCGTGCACCATTGGTGCCCCGGGCACACCGCATATCTCGAGCAACTACCTCAGCATCAAGCTTGTGGCCTGTCGTCTGCCTATTCAAATTTTAGACAGAAGTTACAACTTTTGTTTTTCGTTGAATCTGTAAGCCCTCTTTATTACTCTGAGAGCCCAGCCTTCTTTCAGAGAAACACGAGAATCTTCCTTTCCCACAGTATACTGGGTATACTGATGCACTATCCTTTGCCCTTTCTAGTAAATCTGAGATTGAAGTGTAAAAGCATTATTGTGTGGTTATCAGACCTTGAGTGAAGTTTTTGTGTTTTTCAGTCTTTGGTATATTTATGACAGCCCATTTAGGGTCTCATGTGGTGGGTGTTTGCTGGGATTGGACGTCGGTTATGATAAATAGAAATAATTCGCATTGGTACACTGAAATGCTTGTACAGAATGCTGTTCTCCCCCTGCATTCTCAGGAATTATTGATCAATATGTACATATTATCTCTATATAAATTATATGAAAAACAACCATTGAATTGTTTAAGAGTCATTCAACAAACTGAGCAAGAGATATCATAGTTTTCCTACAGCTGAGGGCGTAATTTTCATAATGGTGATCAATGTAACAACTGTATCTACATTTTCGACACTGATTTTATTTTCTCTTTGCTCTCACGCAACTCTGAATGTATGATTTCCCTTTTGCCTAATATCTTGTGGCATACCAGCCAAAATTTCCAAAATTAAAGTTGATTTCAAACCTTTTTCTACCTGGCAGGGAGTAATTAGATTAGCATTTGTTTACACAACACATATCTTCTGCTTGCTCAGGACACAAATATTCGAGGTATTTCCAAAAGGAGGCGTTCCGATTCAAAGCATCAAATTTTACTCAGGAATTGAATAAGGACATTTTATTACAAATATCTAGTTAAAAAGTTAAAACATTATTTACCAGGTATACTTTTATCGCATTAAATTTTACCTATTTTTTGCCCCACGTACAGCACTTTTTGAGGCTGTTGCTTAAGGGACTAAAAAAAAAAAATCACAAGATAGCTGTATACGGAAAAAATTAACATAACACAAATGAATTGGGAGGACTTTTTCTTAACACATGTAAAGTTTGGTGCTAACTGAATTCATTTTAAGCCTTCAAAGGAACTTGGGTTTTGCAGTGAATTTTGGACAATTTGCCAGGCGGAAAACCGCACTTAAACCGCATTTTCAAATTTTCACAAATTTCTGAAAAATTAACACTTGTCGAAACATTTAAACTCAATTTTTGAAAACAGTCTACCAAAGGGTATCGTTGGGAAAAATATGAGCAATTCACCAAAATGGTCGCTGATGGACGATTCTCGATCCTAACAGGCAGCCATTCTTAAGTACAGTAAACAAGTAGAATCAATGTTATAATGAACAAAAGCCACTGGTCTGTGTGCATTTCATTTCCTTTGTCAATTTGATATCTTTCATTATGTGCATTAGGTAAGCAACATGACAACATGGAATCTATTCATTGATAAAAATTCCTAACAGAAAAAAAAATCAACAGTCATAGTATTACCTATACAGCCCAGATATTTGAAAATCTGCAAAGACATGGAATTCTGCAATATATTTCTCTAGGCCTGAATAGCTATGAATTTTAGTTTGGGTCAAGGAAAAAGGAATGACTAAAATGATTAGGTTGGTTAAAGACTCTTTGCCAGACAATGAAGTGTTTTGTCCAAGAACAGAATACAACTATTGGTGCCAGAGCTTGACTCTGGCCCTTTCGCTCAAGAGTCTTCTCTGTTTACCATTGGCCTACAAAGTGGCCTGGAAGAGTCAAACATATATTTCATTTCACTTAGGAGTAGTTAACAGTTACAACTTTGTTATAAAATTGTTGTTTTTGTTTCTTATTTCACTTTTATTTGTAGCTATTCAGTCAATTTGATGCTGATGGAGAAGGCTTTGCAGATGTAGAAACATTTTTGGAGGTTTGCTTCTAATTGCTTTTATTTACTATTACTGGAAAGTCATCGGAAAGTAATTGATGAGATGTTTGTGTGACTTTACTTTTAGTTCACACAGAGGTATATTATCTCAGTTGTCTCTTAAAGTGTTCTAACTTTGCCAAACCCAATCTACAGTTGAAGCATTTTAATTAAATTTTTTCTCATTACAGACTCTTCAAACCCTTGGTGGTGGCGTGAGTGCCAAAGGAGATTTGAGAACTTCCATCAAGACACTGCAAAACTGCTGTCTAACACCAGGTACAAAGTGAAAATTTTCCTTTTTTTCCATTTGTTAGTTTAGAAGAAATATTGTGAATTGTGAGCTTCAATTGGATTCTGGAGATAGCTAAAATAAATTGGATAAATTCTATAATGATTGTGAACTATCTAGAGATCTCATTTTCCTGTAACTCTTGAAACTTCCATAAGGTTGCAAAAATAGCAAGTATGATAGATTTGTAAGAAATATACAACTTTTTTGAAAGACATGTTTCGGCAGGCATATGCCATCTTCAGTCAATGAGTAACTGAGTGTGAACAATTATATAGTATACAAGTAGATGAAGAAATTATTTACAATATGATGTAAGACAAAAGCGGATACTAATTACAGCGTGACACCAAAACATCAAAGGTGTAAACTAGAATGCTAGAAAAGTGTTATGATATTGTAATTGTTTGTTAAGTTCAGGTTTGATCTTATTTATATAAAAAGCTTCTTTGAGTTTTAAATCAATTGAGTTATTAGCAGAATTCAGAACAATAAAGCAAGAAGAGGAGTATTTGTTCTTACAAGAAGATGTGTTGAAATGCTTAAAAATATGCAAGCTTTTATCACTTTCCGTGTGCTCCTTTATCCTAGTAGAAAAGTGGTGAGTAGTTTTGCCAATATAAAGGGAAACTACTATGTAAGGAAATAAATGTAAAAAATGAACTGTGGCTCAGCTTTATACTCTGTGATTGACGCTTGTTTGGAATAACTTTGTCAGGATTTTTGGATGCTTTTGCTGATAATAAGGAGGCTGTTGTGAATCATGGTCAAAAACTCCTAAAGGTGAAACTTTTGACACTTAAGTTTTTAGTTGTTTTTTTCTTTTTTGACCCAGTCAAGTACCATAATTTCTGGCCGTTTACTCGCGGGTAATCTGTTGATTTTGCCTTAAACATGCGCCACTGCGGGCAATAGGGAGGTGCAGGTTATGTGACACTTTTGAAATCTATTGGTAGTTGAATTGAAAAAAAATTCTCACCTACCTGCATTTCCACCTTTCAAATTAGTTTTATTGTATTAAGAGTGCCACAAAGCGGCACCAAAACATGATGCTGACTCGAGTTTATTTCATGCACAATTAGTTGCGTGACGAACAAATTTTTATTGGCACGCATGTAAACAAAACCTTGATGGTGACAAAATTAATCCAAGGGTATCGGCGCATCAGTAACAAATTTCCAGTTATCGCTAGCCTGAGCTGAAGAGAATTTTCCCGATTTAAGGGACTTGTTAAGCTCAGTAGATCCGAAGATTTCGATTTTTTTAAGAAATAAACAATTCAACATGGCATTCAACAATCGCTCGCACAAAATGTGGCCAGGGATTCACATTCTATCAAGTGTGAAACGTTGTGAATTCTAGAGCCTTTTTGTACAAAAATTATTTGCTTTTAAGGTGCAGGTTATCCACCAGTGGGGGTAATCTGTTGACTTTTTTTTTCGCCATATGCAATCATTGGCTGGTATGGGTAATCGGCCTTGCAGGTAAACAGCTTGAAGTTACAGTAGCACATTCT